GTGTTTCATGTGCATGGGGTTATAGAGCGTGTGATGGGGGGAGGCTTTTGGGGGGGGTCCATGGGGATGCATGAGGTTATGGAGGGCTCTGGGATGTGTGTGCATGTGAGGTATGGGGTGTGCGGGGCCAGAGCCTCAAGGGAGCTGTGTGTCCATGTGGGTGACGCCCAGCATCTGTGCCCTGGGTGTCTGCGTGTGGGACGTGGGACACGTGTGCACCATCTGCAAGGGCTCCATGGAGGAGGAGGCTTTGCAGTGGGGCGATCAGGAGCCTGCGTGCGCTGGGGCTGGGGGAGATGGGGTGCGTGTGGCGTGGGGTGGTGCAGGCAGTCTGGGAAGGGGGCTCAGGGAGGAGCACAGGGGCTGGCTGGTGTTAACAGGGGAGAAGTGCATGAGGGGGCCAGCGCGGAGGCGAGCTGAGGTGAGTGCCTGCACACAGTGCCTGAGGGGGTCTGTGTGGGGAGGGCCAGCGCCAGGCAGAGGTGCAGTATGACCATCAGTGCAGGACGGAGGGTGTGAGGGGTGCCCGGCACCCTCCCGGCTAGCTGTGGCCCCCAGTCCTGGGGGAGCTGTCCCAGCTGTGATTTGGTGTACGCTGTTCCCCAAACCCTGTGCCTTTGGCCAAAGCAAGGGCAGGGACCGGGACCGAGCATGCCTGCACTGCAGCCCTGCACGCAGCAGTGGCTGGCTAGGCCGCGGGGACGTCCGGGCTCTGTGGGGAAGGGGATGCCCGGGGATGCCGCACCATCCCAGGGCTGCTCTGCCAGGCGCAGTGACGCCGGTGGATGCAGCTGGGTGCTGTTAGGTACAGGGCACGGTTCCCTGAGGTCAGCCTCTTCCCGGGTTCGCCCCTTGCCCCAGAGCTGCGGCTCTTGGCAGGACCTGCTCATGTCACCTCACTGGAGAGATCAGATCTTGGGGAGAGGAGTTTCTATTCCCAGGGTGAGAAGCAGCGCCTCCCCTCCCCACCCTGACCTGCACAGGGACTTTGCTCTGTGGCTTTCTGCTATGCCTGGGGAAGCCTCTGGCAGAGATCCAGGGGCTGACCCACACAGCCTAGGGGGGTCAGGCTGCTCTTCCCTGCCAGGGCAGAGCTCTCACGGAGAAGCACGTGCCCCTGTCCCATGCACCAGCGCCCCGAGCCCTGGTGTGTTTGCTTGGCTCCAGCCAGGCCCCTGGCCGGGGGCTCTGCACCGTGGGGCACAGGCGAGGCTCCGCCCGCAGGACCCGCTGTCTCCCAGCCGTGTGCCATGCCGGTTGAGACACCCAGCTCACCTGGGCTGCGGCTGGTGGGAGGACCAAGCGCGGCCCGTGGTGTGTGCAGGGTGCTGGGTGCCCCATGGCTGGCAGCAGTGGGCATGCTCCTGCTTGGGCTGGGTTCACGGGGCTTGGAGTTTGACCTCCAGGTGCGAGCCAGGCGATGCAACCCTGGACTTTGAGAGGGCTGCGGGCAGGGTGGGGTCCTCCCCAGCACGGTCCCGAGCTCCACCTGCGCCGCTGTGACCCTCTGGAGCTGCACTGTGTGGCCTCCCGCTTTTCCCCTGGTGTGTGGGCAGCCTGACGAGGTGTGCCCCTCCAGGGTGCAGGTGCTGGCCCCCATCTGCTGTGCCCTCAGCCCCAGCACTAGGTCCCTCACAGGCAGAGGGGCAGCCGGGACCCCCCAGCAGCGGCTCAGACCACCACATCAGTCGAGGGCAAACAGGGCGATGCTGAGCCGGAGGCTGGGCTCGGGTTCCGGGGCCGCCCACCTTGCCTCACGGCGAGGCAGGGATGTGGCTGCCAGCTGTGATCACCCGCTCTGTCCCTCCTTTTGCAGGGCCAGGCCGGTGCTCGGGAGGGACCCTGGGAGTTCTGGCCCACAGCCCGTGCCAACTCCCGTGCTGCCCATCCCTGATGGTGCAATCCTGAGCTGCCGGTTTTACCCCCCGCTGCAGCAGCACTGGGTGTTAGTGCTGCAAGGCCGGGAGGAGGGCGGGTGGAAAGCTCATCCCAGGGGCCGTCGCCATCCTGAGCCTCATGGTCATTTAATACTTCACCCATTAACTTAGACTAATAAACCTCGTGGGAGCGAGAGGCTAAAAGCCGTGCCAGCCGGGCAGTGCCTCCTTCACGAGCACCGGCCCTGTTTCACGGC